TTCTCCGCAACTGAACAAGTTAGAAAACATGTTGTGATATCTATATGATCGTATGGGTTTATTCTATTAGTTGATTGGAATCAAATATCATAATTTTGAAAACATTACAAACCAGGGGGCAGTTTCACAAAGCAACTTACGATGAAAAATTTGCGTAAGTTTATCGTAACGTAAACTTACGTAAAAATCGCGTTTCACTAAAATTCCTAACTTACGAAATTCGTAACTTTTATCGTAAAGTCTACGGCAACTCTCACCTTGTCGTAAGTTGGAATTTTTTTCGTATCTTTGACAAAATGGCCGCCTTGTTACTTTATGCGGATCGGCAACTTCGACGAGAGAGAATATTCTGGGATAGATTAAACCCTCTCGACACCCATACAGATGAGGAGTTAGTTTCGCGGTACAGACTTGATCGGACCAATATATTACATCTTATTAACTGTATTATTATTAATAATGATGATATCGAAACCGCAACTTACCGATCGAAATCCTTGTCATCACCTGTACAAGTCCTGATTGCATTACGATACTATGCCACAGGTAGCTTCCAAAAACTCATTGCTGATGCACATGGGATGAGTGTACCATCAGTGTCTAGAGTAATTTATCGTGTTTCACGAGCAATAACAACCTTTTTGACGATAAATTATCAATAATTTCCCCTATTCCATGGAAGATAGATATCAATTCTACAAAGGAAGGTTTTCACCAAATAGCAGGCTTCCCAAATGTAGTGGGAACGATTGATGGTACACAAGTTGCCATCATAGCACCATCGGGAGAAAATGAGCCGCTGTTCGTCTGCAGGAAAGGGTTTCATTCCATTAATGTTCAAGCAACAGCTGATTCTAAACTCAGGTAAACGTACGAATTATCGTCTTGTTTTAACTTTAAGCTTCAACATGACACGCGATAAGGGGAAAGCGATAAGGGGACTCGTCGTAAAATTACATAGTTCACTGCATAGTTCCTTCAGAATCCCATAATTCTGTTCAACCCCCTTAATTAAAACACCGAGAGCTGCCGGGTTCCAATTTTGTTTTCGCCTTTTTGGTTCCATTTCGGCTTTTGGCAGACTTACAGACGACGTATGGTACTATGTCACGCGCTATGACGTAGCAAACAAAAACAAGTAAACTAAGCTCAGCGTTTTTTGCGCCTTTAAAGGGCACACTCTTTTAGTTATATCAGTTTTAAAAAAACTAATATTTGCTTTTGAAAAATGGTACCTAACTGTCAAAATTGTAGTTTTTGGTAAAATTATGCCACTTCCGGTGCCGACAGATAACACTATCGGTAACAAAAAAAATGACAATTGAGACAACAGAGCATATGAACTTTGTTTTATACAAATCGAACAATAAATAATTTCCGCACAGGCACCCATTTTTCACAATTTTGTCAAACTTTGGATACCTTTCTTGACTACTTCCGGTGATTAGAGGATTTTCATTTATAGTTCATGCACTGATTTGGTCCTTCGACTTCATATATCTGAAGTTTCAGAAAAATCGTTCAGCCGTTTTAAAAAAATAAGAACTCTACGATTTGACCAAAATGCGAAAAGAAGTGAAATATCAAAGACAACATTTCAGAACAAAACTTATATTGTTGGAATCGGATGGATGTCAGCTATCCAAAAATATAACTGAAATTTCAAAATTTCCAAAATTAAAAAATTTAGAAAATTTTGAAAATTTTCAATTTTTCACCAAAAAAATGAGAGCTACACAGTTTTGAACTGCTATCTGCTCAGAAATGTCTCCAGCTATCCAAAAATGTAAATATCTGAAGAATCCACTGAGAATTAAGAGAATAATGGCCGTTAAAGATTTGACGCATTTCTGCTGTGCGCACAAACTTCGAAATAGCTTTAAGCAGTAGCTGCACACCACTTTTCCGACAGAAAATCAAATTTCAAACCTCTATCTCTTATAGTTGCTGAGATCTAGCTTCCCCCAATAAAAAAAAATAAAAATAATAATAATATTAATCTTAGTAATAACAATAGCCTTTCACCGAAGGTGAAGGCTAATAATCTTAACAAAAACAATAGTGTTTCACACAAGCTACGCAGTGTGAAACCCTAAAAAGCGCGTGATTTTCTTTTGACAATATTTCGGCATTGTCCTACTGTCTTTTTTAGTTTTTGCAAAGTATTGTTTTCAATTACTGGGAATGCAGATTGTGCAATTCTTATCGATTGGAGAATCAAACTCATATCAGACGATGCACAGAGACATATTCTAAAAAGAAACTGGGACTGTTTGATGAAATCACAATAACAACGTGATCAACACAATAATGGGGCGGAAAACGGAGAGACTGGGTTACTAAAATATTAGCAACACATCTATGTTGCCGAATAACATCAATTAGTGTTGAAATGTGTACTTAGTCTCTATTTGTAAATGATGTACATACTATTGCCTAGTGAATTTATTGATGAAGCTAAGGTAGCTGTGGCAATTTCTATAATGTATTGTTATTGTCATTGATTATGACGACACGGTTGTTAGGGGCGAAATTTCTTTTACAAAGAAAAACCTGGCTTCCTTGTTTCGCATTAACTTTGAATCGTTTTCCAAGAAAGTAGATGTCAGGAGTACTTGCATGCGCAGAACCTGCCTGTTAAGAAAGAAAGCAATTTAACCTCACCTCCATCAACCCATATCCAACTATCGTGGCCTTTAGATTTGAAAATTGACATAGTTGACAATTTGATATACGAATTTCTATATAAATACTTTATATAAAACAATATATTGAAGTTATAATTTGTATTTCTTTTATAAATTTACCAGCAGAGTACAGCGTAATGTTAGCATCACGACTGTGGTAGTTTATTATTACACACGACATAATTTGACTAGAGCTGATAGTACTCTATTAAAGATAATTTCATCATTTATAAAGCACATTAATACTAAAGAACAGTTTGTAAGGGCTGTTGGTTATTATATTCACTAATTATTTACAGTTCAGGCTTTTGAAACAAGAATGTTTTAAAATGACCCACAGATGTTAATTTTTCCATAGACTTAGGTAATTTATTCCACGGAAAAGGCCCAACGTAAGAAAAGGCACTTTTCCCAAGTTGTAAGTTAATAGCTGGTAGTATAGGGTTACACAAAACTTTTTACATAAGATTCAGCTTGGCCGTTTAACGCTTTGAAGACAAAGAGGAATAACTTGAACTTAATTCTTTGCTCATGAATTGAGAGCCAATGCAGGGATTTCAATACTGGGGAGATGTGCTGATGTTTTCTGGTTTTAGTGAGTCAAGTTGCTGAATTTTGCACATGTTGTAGTTTGTTAATCTGATAGGGTAAGCCGTATAGTAAGCCACGATGGTTATCTAAATCTAATTTAGTTGAGATGAATGCGTGAATGACTTTTTTTTTCATAATTGAGGTAACGTTGGATCTTTCCAGTTCGATGTATGATAGAAGGCAGCGGAGAAAATACATTTATATGTGATTTTAAACGACATGTTTGAGTCTAATATAGCACCAATATTTCGAGCTTTATGTGTTTCTGAAATTATTTCTTTATCCAAATTAACTAACGTTTGATCAACTTTACGGAGTTGTTGCTTGGTTCCGAGTACTAACAGTTCTGTTTTATTTGGATAATTCGATAGAGGGTGTATTCGCAGAAAAAAATACCTTTTGTGTAAACTATTAAAGTAGATAGTCTATAATGATTTAGATAGTGTACAAGAATAAAGCCTAGAATAAGAAGGGGGTAAATATAAAAATAAAATAAAACCAAGTACGAACAATCCAAACCATTAGACAAAATTCAAAGTCCTAAAAAAAAAAGGGTACAGGCAAAATAGTGTAATCAGCAAATGGACTGTTGACCGTGTACAAAATACACGACACGCAGTGGTAACAGGTGTCATATAGCCCCCATGGCCTATCACCCGTTACACTAGCATTAGAATTATAATGAAGATTATGTTGCTTTAGGCGCATTTTGAACAACAAAATACATCAAAGGAAGTCAAGTGTGATTAAAGTGTTGATAACTATAATTTTATCAGTCTTAATGATTGTGAAACGACCAGTATCCTAAGGCAACGTCTTGTAAACTATGGAATTTGAATATATACCTAATGGAACACCAGTGTGGTATGCGTTAAACAAGAATTGCTGGTTAATAAGCCCTAAGAATTTGATGTCCTCCACATTGTTTGAGTAGCTAAATCTGGTAAATAAATCTGGACATAGGGAACAGGGAGGAGGTGACCCATGATTTTGCATGAGGAACAAGATCCCGTCCGGGCCCCCAAAACAATATTTATATGTGTGTGCGGGAAAGGAGGGGGCTGGGGCTCCCAGTCCCGCTGAGTAATGTCTTTATTGAAACCAATGATTATGATTTGTTATCGTGACCGGAAAAAGTTGTGGTTTAACCCCTGTTCTTAGTGCTATAGGATAGTAGTTACCTCCCTTGAACTAACACATTATTGAGGTCACACGATGCGACTCAGTGTAGTAAGATCATCGCTGGAAGCCCTGAAGCAAATTGTAGACTTCAGAGTTAAAGCCGAGGGGTTTGAATCTTTAATGAAAGGTGTAAGTATATAACATTGGACATATCTAAACGAATTCGGATACTATTTGCATGTTTTAAGGGGCGATTGGGTGCATTACGGACGGGTGTAAAGGGAACTAACTCTTATTTTTGATGAAAAGGAATCAAACCACATCTCTTTTCTATTTAGTCACCTGCTATCTTTAAAAGAAAAAAAAGAAAGAAGACAAAAATCTGTGTAATGTAATCCTGGCTAGGTACGGGAAATAATTCACGACTCTCAAATACCCATTACTTACATTGCACATGCAGGGAGCAAGTGTTAGCGATGTAAAATAAAAGCTATAATGATATAGCTATTAGTTAGAATTAAAAAGTCCACTATATTTTTGAGGTCTGTTTTGTAATAGAATTTTCAATTTCTATGAATGTTTACATTCTGACTCTCTCACCTTTAAATTATGATTAGTAACGACTTCTCAGCTTTTTCATCCTGGTTCAATGAGAATTCTCTCGAAGGAAAATGCACCCTATTATCTCGCTTACCACACACCAGGGTGTAAACGAACTCACAGTCAATAGTATTGTGGTGTTAAATAAAGTTTAACAATGATTTGTAATGCAATTGTCACTCCTCGATAAACGCTAGTAAATACCGCGTTTGTAATTTATTCCGGGTCACGATACACACGGGAAGTAGGTTATTTCGATTTAAGATTTATAACCGGATGTTTTTATTTAGGCCTTCATTTTATGTAGAAGTATGTTGTCACTTCTTTCTGTTGTAAACACTCAATATTCATAATTTTAAAAGTGTTTAAAAATTGTTAGCCTATCCTATTTCAGCAAATTTTGTCAATTACTTTTAGATTTATGGCCGTTGTTTTACTTTGTTGAATATTGTGAACGTTCGAATGATAAAAGTTATTATCCGATCTGTATGAAATTTATATGCATTATTTGAATTAGTAAAACGAAAGCGCCTGTAAATTCCTTCCAGAGTTACGGTCCTTTTTTTCAGTTTGTAGAACCACGAAAATAACAATCCGGTCTGTATGAAATTGTCTTGTAAATGGCCCCATTTACCCCCAAAAGAACGAATAAGCGGCAACCCTTGTCGACCGCCCCGACGATTTAGCTGTTGTGGGCGTATGTTTTGTTGCCTGACAACCAATCTTCCAAACTTGCTGGGATTGTGCGGCTAGTGATAAGAAAGAGTCTCTATGGATGTTCCAGTCGCGTCTCTGCATAAAACTGCTGCTTGGCGTAGTTTTAGTTGTTTACTATACGATTATTTTTATTTAGATGGGGTATATAGCCAATCTAATTAAAATATAGATCTATATTTCGTTTCGTTTTTTATACTTTCGATGGCCTACACTACATGTAGATCAAACAAGTTATAGTGGGAGTTCACGTTGTATGACGTCAGGTACCAAGAAAGCGACATTTGACCCGATTACGTCAGTCATTCAATTAACCAATTAGCGACCGCGATGTATTTTTTATCTACTTTTGTTTTGTTTTGATTTCTATTGCCGCTAATGTCTACCCACAGTTCCGCGCAAAAAAGGTCAAACACTCGATTCGACAGACCATTTGATTGGCTGACCCCTCATTTCAAGCAGAACACGAGTTAAATAACAAGGCTTCCAGATCCAAGTGTAATAAAGACAAGTAAAATCGAAATTTTGAACTATAAAAACGAAACGAAAAAGGATCTGTGTTTTAATCAGATCGGGTATATAGCCATATGCATTTACTGGTCTGCTATAGTGTGTCGAAATCGAATATGACGATTCAGATAGAGGTTGTCAATAAGTGTTATTCTCCGAATATTGTAAATATGGCGTATTATGTGGCTCCCCTCTCTTTGTAGACTTTTCATAAAGAAAAATCAGAACAAAAAGAAAACGACAATATTCAGTTCCGAAATGAAATATTAAGTTTTTTTAATTTCATACTGTTTCGGTCAATATCGAACAACAACAGGTTTCGTAGGGTCGAAATGGCGATCACTATTTTACTGGAGTAATTTCTAATATACATTACAGATTAAGGTTGTGGATGGCGGAAATGGTAGATGTATTTGTGAATTAGCTGTAAAAGAACATGTTTTAAATGGTATTGGTTCCATGCATGGTGGAATGGCCGCCACGTTAGTTGATGCCGTATCTACATGGGCGGTTATGACCGCAGGGGAAAGCAGGCCCGGTATCAGTGTTGATTTAAGTGTTTCGTAAGTTTCTGCTATTTTGCATAATCTAATTTTAACCCTTTCGATGCCACTGTTAAACGTTTAGAAATGGCCCCTTTATTCCAGCATTGTTACACATTGTAAGTTAACTCCCTGTACTACATTTGCAGTACAAATGAAATGGGGTTTAACGTTCTACTTTTTTGCATTAACTGGGCTGATGAAGACGGGTTGTTGTACAAATGATGATGGAGTTTTTGGTGGCGCTAGCTAAATAACCATCCCTGTTTTGGCCGAGAAAATCCCCAGGGAATTTTTAGCGTGGATACCTGGCAGAATGTAATAAGGCGCTAGCTACATAACCATGGAGTCCCGGGTGAGACCCCTGTTTTGGCCGAGAAAATCCCCAGGTAATTTTCAGCGTTGATACCTCTCGTCTGTAGTGATACATGGGGAGTGGGTGTCGGGGGTCTGGCAAGGAAAGCGTCTGCTTGTTGAAATGGAACTACCCACCGGGGGTCCTAGGTACAAATTGGCATGTACGTAAATTAACCCTTGACAGTTAGAAACGCCAGTGACCATACACAAATTCCTTCATATGGTAACCTCATTAGATTTCATTTCGCAATATATGATTCCCCAGTTAAAGTATGCAATAAGCATTTCTATAACATAAACAACATACATCGTATATTGTTTAATTTTTTTCTTGCTTAGGTGAAAGTTGGGCAGTTAAACATGCCTCTGCAACTGTATTTCTCCCCTCTTCTTGCATAGACGGGTGGTGGGAGTGGCTGAATGGTTAGCGCGTGCGCATTGTATCATAAGGTCTTTCATTGAGTCAACTGGCGTAGTTTTTATTCCCCAGTTGTACGTGACAAGGAGTAGGGTCGCCTGTCCAACCTCGTGGGTTTTCTCCGGGTCTCCCGGTTTCCTCCCACCGCTAAAGACCCCTACGCCCAAGCGAATTATTGAAATGTTAGTCCCGAAATGACCTAGTTAAACTCCATTTCTCTCTCTCTCTTTATTGTATAGACATTAAAGTAGGATTTTATGTTGGTTTTTTTCTCTTGAAAGGAAAATAAGTTATTCCCTTCCAATTTTTGATCCATACGCTTTTATTACCACTTGTAGTATATATCGATACAGTCCAGACCTCAGACCCAATAAAGGACAGGAGTTGATGAAAAGCCTATGAACTGAAGTGTTAATATTCATCCGCGGGATTGCAAACTGCGAAGTTCTCTGAACAAGCAATGTGCAACGGTTACACGCCTTTTAGTTGTCCGTGAAACTCAGTTTTTTGTTGTTATTTAATTCGATCGATAAGTCTGCACTTTCTTTGTCAACCTCCCTGGCAAATGGGAAGGCGACTTAAAACAATTCTAGAGGACCTTCTTGGCCCACGCCGTTACTATTCAAAATTATTTATTTGGTAACTTCTAGCTTCAGTTCATGTAGTTTCTAAATCAAGAAATTTTCAGACGAAACAGAAGATATAATATTGTTAATTTAATTTGGAATTTTGACATTTCTACCTTAGCAAACCACCATAAAGACTTCATTATTTGATGTCGCCACTGCATGTACAATGACTGCTCCTATTTAGTCAGAGCTCTTCGTGCTGCCAATGTTATACACGGTGCACCTTTATTTTGTCTCAACCGAACGACTAGACGATTTCTATGCCCCCCACCCCCGCCAAAGATAACCCCGTGGCTAAAGAGCTCAGCGCACAAGCGAAATACGTATATCGTATAAGCTAACTATATTGACTTCATTTATTTCAGATATATGAAACCAGCTCTCCTAAATGAAACCCTGATCATTGATGCTACCACATTAAAAATTGGAAAAACATTGGCCTTTTTAAGTGTGGATATTAGAAACAAAGAAACAAATAAATTAATTGCACAAGGAAAACATACTAAATTTGTCGGTTAAATAATCGTATTTAATTTATTGTTGTAAATATTTTGTTATTTTATTATAGTAAATTATTGAAATGTCATAAAAAATGTCTAAGATTTTTTTTTTATTAAATCTTGGTAACCGTTACTTATAAATCTGCCACGTCAGTGATTTGTAAGAAATGTACATTTTTCAAGAAACGAAGACCACGTCAACAGAAAGTATATATATATATATGGATGCTAGAGCATGTTCTTTTGATGGAAGGACATTTCGAATGACTTTTATTGTGTATTGATTAACAATAATGATAAACATAACAATTAACATAGCATACCATTGCATCGAAAAGTCAAAATAGACTGCACATTATCATTCCCGCAAAAATGTCTTTATTCCTATTCTAATTGGATACATGTACTTGGTTTATTTTCCATACGGAAACAATCGAACCAACGACCGTCGTTTTATTAACTATTAGGAATTTCGAGGTCTTCCCAGGTACTTAAAGACGTCTTTATTCAGAGTCTGATTATTTGTCATATAGAATCGATCGACCTAACGATCTGATGGTGTATACCCTTTCTTCCATACCGTTTATTAACTGTTAGGAATTTCGACATCTTTGCAACCACTCTCAGAATATTTAAAAAAAAAGACATTGGTGGCTGTTATCCTTTTGATTGCTTAGTTATGAGCTGGTATTATCAATAAAACAGGCCCCCATTTGAAGGATAATAAATAAAAGATTGTAAATTCATTAGCGAATTCTACAGCCACGAAACGTCAGCAACGAAATTGGCATAGGAATGTCTATTAAGTACTTATATTAATTACGAAGCTTTAGAGGGGGTGGGGTGATCACACTTCATAGGACGAGTACATCATCATACAATCTAGGGGGTGGTCACACCTTAAAGGATAAACTTCATCTCCATAGAGGTGTTTCGTCACATCTACACCATATGAAGATTAATATCCGTTATTCTAAAAGCATAAATAAGCAGATTGTCTTCATAAACCTAATATTTCTATGGTTAGAATAGGGGAATTTGGCGATTTGCACAGGTAAAACAAGTGCTAGCTAACCAGTCTTTAATTGCTGTTTGTCTGGATTTAGTCTCTGAACTAGGACATATAAATTTAGGGAGTTCAATTTTTTGCTCCTTGAGATCGTCAAGATTAATAACATTCACATCCTCTAAAACTGCTTCTTCGGCAATGGGGTGTTCTTCGGAAACTTCAGTAACGAGTGGATCTTTGAATTCTACGGTGGGTGGACTGTTAGATTTGGCAACTGGTAATGTAGGCTGTTCAGCAGGACGACAGACGTCGACAGTCTGATCCGGTTGCTTCTCAAGGTTGATGTCAGTAGTCTCTTCATTTTCAGCTTCCGGTGGGTTAGAATGTATAGATGGGTCGCTTGAAACTGTGACGTCATCGACCCAACATCGCGGTCGAACTTTCTTCCGTCTCGGTGTTGAAGAAGCTTCCACTGGTTTCTTGGGTGTTTTGATAACTTGGCGAGGCGTTACCTCCTCTGGAGTTTCTTTATTTTGTTCGATCGCATGGCTGAAACGATATAAGAATTAAAAATAAATGATATATTGTAATATAAAATATTTTATATAGAAACAAAAAATAAAATAAATTCCAAGCTTTGTCAACAGCCCCCCAAAATTGAGAAGCTGTATCACTTTTCCTTCTTCTGAACACTCCTCACTTGCTTGAAGGTATATAGCTTCGGAGCACATTACTCAGCTGGACAGGATAATAGGAATCACCTTAACGCAATACGTCTCTAAAATATAATGAAATGGTTTTAATATCCAACTTTCTGCACAATGGAGCTAATATAGAAAGACATAGGCCGTCAAGTGTGCTATATGCGGGTAATTTTGCCCGAACAGTTGCTTTTCCGTCGCCTTTTATCGAATTCCAACTGTCAAGGGTTCTTTTACGTACATGCCGCGTAGGTCTACACGGCTGGACCATTGTGTTTTGTCCCCTTTAAACGATTAGCGTAACGCTCATTTAGCCACCGTGAATCCAATAGTTTTTGTTTTAAAGTGTAGGTTTAATGTCAGCTTCCACATGTAACCTTTAACAATTTAAATTATTTCTATTCAAGAATTTGACGAGTTTCATGCCGCCATATTATCTATATAAATACAATCAAAGATGTGTGTATGTATGTTCGCCCATAACGCTTCGTCGCCATGATTCACCCTCACAATATATGGTATCAAATTAACCCGCATGACCCCGTGAATCTTTTTAGGCCATCATTTATGAAGGTCAGGATCATCTATTAGTTTAACACAGCCAAAAATATGTGCCTCTGGCCGGACTGTTTTATTGCAATTAACGGTTAAAGGGGGGTTACTCTGCTTATTATGGTAAATAATTTCAACAATAGTAACGGATAATGTAAGCTTGCGGAAAGCGTCAAAAACAGGAAGATGCCGAGTAAGCAGATCTTAAATGATATTTAAAACCAATACCACCAACAGTTGTAGTTTAGTGGGTGGCCACCCTACCGAATATAATCTTATTGTATGAGTATACAATTTATAATGAAGTTTAGACAACTTATCTAGTTGACTGATTATTATATATCTAAGGTCAAGATGGGATCATCTAATATACAACACTTATTGTGTTTATCAAAGGTTTAATCAAACACTTCATAAATTACATATAAGATACTATACAATTGTTAGATTTATGACTGACTTTTTAATCTTTGGCAAAGTATATAGATTATTGTATATGTCGCCATTTAACTTGAAACTCTTTATCTAATATACAACACCAAGACCATGGTATTGGTTGACTTAAACTTTGATAAAAGAATTAAAGAATGTATACTATTCAACCGGTTCCATTGTATAGTTTATAGGTTTCCATTTATATTAAAACCCTTATCTGTGATCCGACTCCAAGATCGTATTCGCTGACTTCATTGAGGATAAATTTGAATTTTTAGAAATTGTATTCTATTCAACTAGGTCAACGGCCATTAAATATCTTATTTCTCCTATCATACTGAGACAGAGAGCCGGGTTCCCAAAGCAAATGTACGACATAATTTTCGGGACTAACATACAGTTCAATTTTATTTCAATAATTCGCTTAGGGGGTTTTTAGCAGTAAAAGAAACGGGAGGAGTGGTAGAAAACCCACGAGATTGGAAGGCGACCCTACCCCTTGGCACGTACACTCTGGGCACAAAACTACGCCTTTTGACCTTATGATCTAAAACGTGTCTTAGACCTGACAAGGAGTAGCTTCGCATGTCCAACCTCGTGGGTTTTCTCCGGGTCCTCCGGTTTCCTCCCACTGCTAAAGACACCTACGTGCAAGCGAATTATTGAAATTAAATTGAACCATGCGTTAGTCCCGAAATCACCTAGTTTGTGTGGAGTGGGGTTACCCCCGCCCCCCTCTCTCTCTCCCGCGCGCGCCGTCTTAGACCATTCAGCTACCCATCCCCCCACCAAGACTTGGTAGTCTTAAAATGTTGGCTATAATAACTGAAAGAGTGGGCGTGGCAAAAAGTCACTCATAGCGCACTGCATCACGTATGTAGGCCGAACGGAAGCTTTGTGTTGCTCAAATAAACTCGAACTCTACTGTGTGTTTTAATATCTTATATTTGATCTGTAGAACGCACGGAAGCTTTGTCACTTTGTGTATGGCTCAAATAAACTCGAACTGTTAAGTGTCTTTTAATATCTAATATGTGATCAGAGGACACCCTTGTTCCTTTTCAGGCCATACTTATTGACATATATTTTTAAAGGTATTTAAGGCAACGGGAACGAAGTGTAAAGGGCGTGGAGCCATGTTTTTATTATTCAGATCAAGGGTTGAACGACAATACTGTACACAATTAACCTGTTTGATCTATTGATGAAATCAGCCCAGTACACGTTACACTTTTTTGTCTATTTGTCTCACAACATCTTTCCCAACGCTATACGAGTATAAAATTGATTATTGGTCTATAGAGAAACCATTTCGCACAACAATTCGTGCTATAAGTATTGATTAATTTCTTCGTAGCAATAAAAAGGCAATAAGCCTCAGTATTATTCAAGCAAACCAAATTATATTTAATTACTCTATCATTGATAGATATATTGATATTTTAACTAAAACGTACAATACGTGGCTTGGAAAGAGGCGACATTGAAATAAAATGTTTAACTTTACTGTAACAACCGGGTTAATAACGACCGCAAGGTTAAAGTCTACTTTTACTTCGATTTTCAACTAGGGGGTCACGACACGGTTCTCGGCCAGCACCGATATCTAACTCTGGATATAAGGATGAAAGATGTATTTTTTCCTACTTTTGTTTTTGTAATATAGCTACCGTATCGACTTTCGGATAAAGAAAAACAAGAAGATCAGTATTCAAAACAAATGAAAGTATCTCATGGGTCACTTGATCAGTCTCTGATACGCCTAGAAATGGTTCCACTACTGATGTCTTCCGCCTTGCTCTAGCCACAGTAGTGGACCGTCTTAAGGCCTTCCTTTGAGCAAGTTTTATAGTCATTGACTACAAAAACGTTACTGACCTATAACTCCCTTAATTTCCAATTACACTGATCCCGTACTGTAATGTAATGTACATAGCTTAACATATAATAAACCATTTCTCTCGAAAATAAAGAAAAACTGTTCGGTAACATATGATTATGATTTCAGTGTTTCACTCTTCACTATTTGTAACATAATTACTTATTGCCATGCAAACAATTTTGCAGTTGAACCTAATTGTAATTGCTTCAAGCCTCGAATAGTGTAGGGGAGGGGAGGGGGGGGTGGATGGCCGAATGGTTAGCAAGTGCGTGCTGTATCAAACGGCCTGTCATTGAGTCAACTGGCGTGGTTTCGAATCCCCGGTTGTACGTGACAAGGAGTAGGGTCGCCTGTCCAACCTGTCCAACCCCTACCTACGCGCAAGCGAATTATTGAAATAAAATTAAACCATATTTTAGTCCCGAAATGACCTAGTTTATGTGTGGAGTGGACGTTACCCCATTTCTCTCTCTCTCTCTCTCTTTCTCTCTTTCTCTCTCTTCTCCAGGTCCTCCGGTTTCCTCCTCCCACTGCTAAAGACCCCTACCTACGCACAAGCGAATTATTGAAATAAAATTAAACCATATTTTAATCCCGAAATGACCTAGTTTATGTGTGGAGTGGACGTTACCATTTCTCTCTCTCTATCTCTCTCTCTCTCTCTCTCGAATAGTGTATCAAATAAAGCGCAGATAAGAATGATCACGGCTACAAATTGCAGCTATGCTACGCCCAACATAGCATTCTGACAGATTTCCTATTACAATAGAGAGGCAGTTAAGAAGGTTTGAATATTGGACAGAATGAATAAATATATGTACTTTCAAATCCTGAACAATAATCAGATTAAGTTATAATATGTAATATGGGAGAGAAAAATCCTGATCGATTCGTTACTGCTTGATAAAGTTTTATACATTATACAAGGGATTTATAATATACTATTATAAACGTCTTATCGGGCAAGACGTATAATATATTTATGATCCTACTATGTATTACATTATTGGACATTCAGCTCGAGTAGCTGAGTTCAATTAATACAAGCTTATTTGAATAAAAACACTTGACATAGTTTGAAGCAATTTGATCTACCTTTTATGCTTCTGTAATTATGTATAATAATCACGTACATTTGATCCGATAACTCGACAAAGTTAAAGGGGTAATAGAGAGTATGCATTTGATTGAACTTCAAAATCCAGTTCTTGTATTTAAGAATATTTATTTCGACTATTCTGCAGCTAAAATTTTTCCCCTGTTTTCAATACATGTCTAGATTTACATAAACATCATATGTTCTATGTCTGTAAATACCACTTAAATCACAATTTTTCGGGGAATTCACCAGGGCCAAAAAGTTTTGTATTTGGTGTGATTTTGTCCGGCTGTTACCTATTACCTCTCAAATATAAGAAGTAATGATTGTCGCTCCCATAAGCTACGTCTCATTTTACCAAGACGTTAACAAAGATGATACATTTTGTGGACCTTGTTTGGGATGATTTGTGGTGACTGCTGAAAGCTCCCCCTACCATCCGTGGGGTTGGATGGCCGAATGGTTAGCGTGTGCGCGCTGTATCATAAGGTCTGTCATTGAGTCAACTGGCGTGGTTTTAATTCGCCGCGTGTGCGTGACAAAGAGTAGGTCGACTGTCCTATCTCGTGGGTTTTCTCCGGGTCCTCCGCTAAAGATCCCTACGGGCAAGCGAATTATTGAAATAAAATTGAACAATATATTGGTCCCGAAATGACCTAGTTTGTGTCGAGTGGACGTTTACACCCCCACCTCTCTCTCTCTCTCTGTCTCTCTCTCTCTCTTATTACCATGTAGAATGACGTTCTATTGTTCTAAGACAAATGGGAGATGCATTCCTTGAAAATGAATAACATCAAAACGAAATATATTCTGATTATTTAAAACACGGGTGAAATAAAAAAAAAACAAGTAGGAAACTCACTCTGTTTGATCCAGAAGTTCGGCGTTTTCTTGTTTGACAGATCTGGGACTCAACATTTGTGTTGAGGATGATAAGCTGGATGATGATGCTGATGATATCGAAGGAGCTACATATCTCCTCGAATAACTTCTGATCTGTGATTCCGTTCTCAGCTCAGGTATTTCTTCACGTGGTAGTATTCCATTTTGTTTTCCAGATTCGATTAATTCGGACCACTCAAAAACACTACCATTTAGACTTTTGTCCGATGGGTTCTTGGGAATTAGCAAATATTCACTCGTAACTGAACTACATGTGGGAGAATTTCTTGGAGATCCGAATTGTGGTTTATTGGTAAATGCTACTTTATAATTACAGTTGCTTTGACTTAAAGTTTTTTTCAATATCTGGATAAGAGGATTGCTGATGTTCTATGGCACCAATATGGGATTTTGGACGTAATCTAATACTGCTCAACAGAGCAGATGTTTTGTTGTACAAGGGACTACCGATATGAGACGGTCCACTATAGTTCTGTTTGGGTAAATAATCACAACTTATTCTACGATTTTTTGATGGATCCGACTTAGCATTCTTCACTACATAATCGAACATTCTTCGACTGTATTGACGTTGGTTTTCACTCTCGGCACATGCTTTTAGTATAGAATGTTCTTTCAGATTCTTTTGATGTTTCCAGTATTGCGCCAAATTCTGGGTCTCGTTTCTGGAATAATCCATTGGAAACTCATCCAAAGTCCTGCGTCTCTGTAAAGGAGCAGATTGACATCGCATTTTAAACTTTGTATGAAAATCTCGAGTGACCGTTAAAGTCATATTTTCTATTGAAAATAATCTCTATTATTCTAACAAGAATTAATAATAACAACGCGAAGTGTTGATAAATTCACAAAATAATTATCCATCAATGTGAGCTGTTTTCCTACGATACGTAAACAATGTTATCGTCAAAACACACGCTGTATTTTTTTTAAAATGTCTATCCCGTTTGCACAGAATGACAGACTATGATAAATATGTGAATGATATCCCTTCTCGCGAGAAAACAATTATTCCGTAGGTAGTCTATTACCGATAAGGTCTGAATTAATTACACCTTACAATGACTGTATTCTTGTGGCTGGTTGCTAAGATCTATTATGAATTCGTCTGCTGTGTATCGGATTATCTACCCCCTGTATTTACGGTGGTATGTCTTAATCCTATTGATCAGGTAATATCACCTGTGTTTGTGACGCGATGTAATAAATCTACCTGAAATACCTAGCTATCAATAGAACATTATTCTACTTATAACTAGATCTTGTCATATTCATATCATATCACCCAGCCTTTGTTCTTTATATACGTTTGCCGTAGGACGTTAAACCTTATTTCATTTCATTTATCTGCATGTGCACTGGTATCTTTTTCAATGCAGTTAATTTGTGGAAAATGGAGTTAAAATAGGCGAATTCAGCGATATTATTCAACACCTACAAAAATTTGCCGAGATACAGTAGTTTATATGATTTATCTCATTTTAATTTTGGTACAGATGACGTGTATCTAATATTTTACTCCCGAAAACTCATACGTAACTTGTTTTTTTCTGCCAAAATACCCTCTATTTTTCAATTCTCCAATTAATATTTTCATTTGCTACAATGCCATTTGGGACGCTTACTTTGTCGGACAGTACAATTATATTTCAGATTTTGATTCTATATAAATCCTAAAGCTTGGGTTTGGGGATTCGGGGTTGGTAGGAGAGGTGGGATACTTCGCGGCTGCTACATTGCAAATAACGCTTGTTGTTCTATTGGGATACTAACATGATGCAATACACATAACACAATTTAATTTTTGCCTCATATATATATAATAACACATGATACAATTATATGGAATACAAATTATACTTGTAAGATTTATTTCTGGTGACGTTTCGACGAGGATTCCCTCGTCTTTGTGCTTGATATAGACGAGAGAAACCCTCGTCGAAACGTCGTCAGAAATAAATCTTTCAAGTATAACTTGTATTCCCTATAATTGTGTCATGTGTTATTCTCATTCAGTTACTAAATGCCGGTCAAACAATTCATATATATAAGTTTAAGTATGTTTTGTGATAGGTGTTCTGTTGTTTTTTTTGTGTGTAGGTGTGTGTGGTTGCGGTGGTAGGGGAAAACACAAACGGTACTAACTCTAGCTGCACCACACCATATAACCATTTTAATTATATTCTCTCAGGTTAATCGTTATCTAGAGCTCCTTCAGTATAGACGATTATGATAATCTTTGTACACCTTGCCCTTGTGAAGGATTTGTATATCTATCATTGGTATTATATTATAAGAATGGTATTATCATCACAAACAAAGGGGACTAGAATGCATTAATATTATAAATACTTATTGCAATATAGACGATCAGATAATCTCCATTGTTATGCGATCTGGATATATGATTAGATCAAAAGGTTGATTAGTTGATTGACGTGTACTGTAAATACGATATAAATTAAATAAAATGGGGGTTAACGTCCTACTGTTCTGCACCAACTGGGCTAGTAAAGACGGGCATACGCCATACAGTGTATTATTAGGGAATTTTTGCATGAACAGTGGCACTACGGCCTACACTTGTCAACGATTCTTTTACGCGAAAGCCAAGAAGAAAGGAATATAACTTTGTATTGATTCTGAACTATTTTTAGTAAGCACAAGACGTTTGTAAAGTGTTATGAGTCTTGTCAAATGTTTTAGTATTGTGCAATGGTTTGTCGAGGCAATAATATACGAGTATATTTAAAATTCGTTCATTTCTTTTGGAGTCATTTAATTAAGAAATCTTACAATAAAGGCTCGTTCTGTGAAGGCAATATGTTCAAAATTTAAAGATTTAATATCATGCCATTATCCGGCATCTTTCCTTAGAAACATGGCAGTAGTTTGCCGCTACTCCAATTGTATTATTTAACACTTAGATATGTAAGTCTCGATAACCCCGCAATGGAAAGAAATGTGTTTTGCACATTCGTAAACTATTTAATGCTTAGGGGGCATTATGAGGGATTAGAGCTGACAGTTATCGTTATAATAGTTAAAAAATAGATAACGTAAAGAAAATAATAATATGCTGAAAATTTCAGTCAAATTGCTCCACTCTGAACCGAGATATTAGCGATAGAACTTTACGCCTAGCCCCGATCATCATTACTGAAGTCTGTACGATAAAGACAAAGTTTCGATTATCCATTTTGACGTTAAATCATCCATCAGAAAATGTATTCAAATCCAGTTAATATCGCAGGCTAACGATAACACCGAGAGTTGATTATGGTCTGGATAAGTTATTTAATGTCTAATTAATAATTTAGATAGCATTCTAGGCCTTAAGAAAGACCTGCAATAGGCAGGGTTAGTTCTTGCATAATGATGTTTAAATAAAAGAAATGTTGTCTTTTGATATTCTTGTTAATGAATGCTCTGGCGAATCTAAGACATAAATATTTTGGTTGTTAGATTATAATCCTGTCCCACGACTTGATGTTAAATAATACTTAATTGGTCAAATATATGACTTACCAAAAAATGTTTTTCTTGGAGATAAATGGATATAACATCAATTATTCGTGACAATAGCTAAATCTTAACCACTACCTGCAGGTATTAGAAACTAATAAATACTTTAAAATGAGTCTGTATATTATAATGTAATAGAATAGCGAGTCGTGTAGCAACAACCTTTTGTTATATAAATATTGCACTTTCTAACATTTGAATTCGATTTGGAGTAAACAAAGCTTTGCATTATATGTCACTTTCCTTGGGGATTAGCGACAGATTAACCGAATACTATCTATATACATATCAATATTAGAATTCATATTTTTAAATAATAACGTTTGACATACATGTCTTGTTTTTCAATAGGTAAATAATAAGCATAGAATGCGTTGGTCTAAAACCCGTTGATCTTTAGGAAGCCTTTAGTAAAGATATACAATAAATTATGTCAATAATATATAGATCTGTGTAAGTTAAATTGAGTAGATTGGCAATATAGATCTATAGAAATAAAGCGCACAATACGGCTTCTTATGCAGCCACAAACCCATATCCATGTGCAAGCTCTGTGTACCAAGTTTACTAAATTCTGATCGATGTTAAAATGCGATTATTTCTGCTGACTGGTTTCTTATCCAGGACATACACAAAATCGTGTATTTCGCCAAGATTTGTGACATTTTCTATGAGAGGCCCACTGCCCCGCCCCCCTTCTGGAAAATTTTAGCTCCGCCACTCTCCAACTCGAAGCGTTTCCACTAGCAAGATTGATGAATGGGATGAGACGGAATTGAAACCGCAAGCTCTAGAATTCTCTAGAATTAGTTCCGGTTACCTCAAACAATGTATTATTGTTTTAATAAATGTATTATTGATCAAAATTATTCGGTTTGGGAATGACAGATTTCGATGTCAGCCAAAAGATAAATCGTTCAACGATGGAGCTAGGGTAAAGCATATTGTGGTCACCCCTAACCTCACCCCGTCAGACCAAGAAAGGAATAAGAAAAATTCCAACGCAAGAGAGAGAGAGGGAGGGAGAAAGAGAGGGGTTATTCTGGGACTAACATATAGTTCAATCTTATTGTAATAATTTGCTAGCGCATAGCGGTCTTTGGCAGTGGAAGGTAACCGCAGAACCCGACCCGGAGAAAACCCACGAGGTTGGACAGGCGTTCCTTACTTCTTGTCACGTACAAGCAGGAAATCGAAACCACATCTCTTGACTCAATGACAGACATTATGATTTCGCGCGCACGCGTTAAACCACTAGACCACCCAATGCCCCTTCAACCAGAGAACACGTCAACAAAATAGGGAAATAATATTTGTTTGTGATTTGTAGACTATAGGAGATACGCACGGTCTGTCTTGTGCAATAATGTTTCATTGAATATGACTGTCACTTTATTTAATGGCATACTTTTATATTCTCCGGGAGCCACGTTGGCGCAGTGAGTAAGGCGTTGGCTCGCTAACCTGGAGGTCACGGCGCTGGTCGACAAAGTTCATCTGAAATTTTCCGGTGTGGTTTCTCCTTGTTGGTTGTGCATGACAGGGGGGTCTGACAAGGGACAATGTATAGTCGTTGTGTACACATTGGTGTTCACGTAAAAGATCCCTTGACGTAGTGCAGCTGTCTGGGCAAAATTCCACTCATAGCACATTCTATGGCGCAGAGCAGAACAATAGGACGTTAAACCCCATATCCTCATTTCTATATTCTCTGTTCGATACATCATATCAACAAAACGCTACTTTTGGAGGATGGAAGTTAAATAAACACCCGTTTTAAGATCAGGCCCCGAGTTCGCAAAGCAGTCTCGGACTTAAGTTAAGAATTTACTAAAAATTGTACGCCTTATTTCAACTAAAATATAACCGTTTATAAAGCTTCTGTTGTTTTAATGCATACATCAATAAGAAACTATGTACAAAATTTTGTGTATCTCGATCAAAGATATAACTCATAAACAGTAATTGAAACTTGAGTAAATTCTTAACTTCAGCCTGAGAATGCTTTGTAAACTCAAGGCCAGAACGCTCATCAAGTCATTACTAATGTAATATATCATCAACCATTAAACTATACTGATGACAATGTGACAGAAGATATTCCATTAAAGGATAATTAAACACGAATAAAATATTGCTTACCATTTCACAGGTATCTTTGAAACACGCTTACAATATACCAATGACGCTTTAGGCAGCTCCGGTTTCTTTTAGACCTGTTTTGTATTAAAAAATCCCATCAATTAACTGATGATAAGGATCTACATGTTTATCATTCTAACTATTGGTCGTTATAAACTCATTGATTTCTGCTTAGTTTTGATGGAAGTCCTATGTTATATTCCTATTAAAAACCAATCCATTACAGAAAAGACCTACTTGACCATGGATAGACCTTAACGCTAAATAATTAATAATCACGCAAAGCAAACTGAATATTACGTACCACAATAAATCATTGTATAAGCCTTGGAATCATTTACGTTCTAATGGCTGAAGTTAATATTTGATTTCAATTCATTATCGATGATAAAATAATAATATCGATATAACATTAAGAATTGTAAACACGATAAATTAACGCGTCGTGCTAAAATACTTTTTTAGAGTCGTGATTCTTATTGAATGAGAGAAATGCCATAATTGAAAAATAATGATATTATGTTTATTGGTAACCACGAGTGGTGATCTAAACTGGGTGGGGCAGACGATATCTAAATAATTGAAGGGAGATAACTCGAAAATGAATGTCGTACAATCCCAAGGTCCAGCAGTGATTTCCCCACTGACTTTAGTGTTAATTCTCAATTCTCGTCTCTTTGATATTCACCTAAAACCCCTTACTTCGATTCCACTCCCACAAGAAGCAGCCAAATTCATTTACTTAATTCTTTTATGAGGGGTTTGGGGGGAGGGGCGGGGGGCTGTCATCGTCTAACTATCTACGTCACCCGACTTAATCTTTTCCATTTTATTGTTCCTTTAAAACTTTTCTAAAAGTTTGTTTTATAAATGACACTTTATTCAAGTTTTTGAATGGGGTTGGGAACCATCATCCTCAATGTGCATGTGTAAATATATTTATGGTGTGATTTCCCCTTGCCAGTGGTGAAGGTCCCGTGAAGTAAAAGAACCCTTGACAGTTGGAATTTGAAAAAAGGGTAGACCATAGCGCCGCTGCCCAGGCAAAATGTCCCTCTTAGCACACTGCATGGCGTATGCTTATCTTCAAAAACCCAGTCGGGGGAGAACAGTAGCATTTCCCATTTCATTTCATTTCACAAAGGCGTGTTGCCTAGCTACTGACGGAAGGCAGGCTAATACAGAATTTAGCTGTGATTTTTTTCAAATCAATATATATATTTTTTTGGGGGGGGGGGGGGGGAGAACTATTGTTTTTATGTGCGATTTTTTGGCAGGAGAACTGTTGTTTTAATGTGCGGTCTTTAACCCTGTATTTGACTTTAATTCTGACATGCCATCCCCTTACGGGACAATATTGGTGGCAGTCATTATCACATATGTGATAGAGCTGGTTAAACACATTCCAAATATAATTTTAACACAGATATCATTGCTACGATAGCTGAGTAAAACAGGTTTCCTGAATCGGAAGTGACGAACGCCAAAGAAAACACGAGTCATCCCTCTATAACTGACTGAAGTGACGGGTGATAACAGATAGATGGGCGAATTTCTGCTCACTAATAATTCCTTCGAAGATCAAAAGTTGGTGTGTGTCCTTTAATCTACATTATTATTCAAACCAGTGGTATCTAGCAAGCTTCGTTAAGTTTCGGCCATAAACTGTCGATTCCGGTCATTGACTGTTTCTTCCGGAGACAAACACCCTGTTTACAAGAAGGGCTAGATCTATTTCTAAATGCCAATTTTCGTCAAGGTCGATGAGATGTAAATAAGGTTTGGGCACGTGATTATGGTTGGGGTAAGCGTTAGGGCTAGGTCCAGGGTTAGAGTTAGGGTTGGGATTAGCGCTATCCCTGTTTACATCACGTGAACAAACTTGAAGTTGGCCTTATGAAAGAGTTCTAACCCTACAAGAAGACAAGGCTAGAACATAAGAAAAGAACACGGGCGGCGGTTAGACCAGAATGGTCTTTAAGAAACACGAAGTATAATTTCCTTTGTTGATTTATTTACATATCTTATTAGCCGATATTGACCGTTAAGTTCATATCATAGACAATAAATCCACAAAAGCAACTGTGCAGATTATTTCAGAGGGGAATAGCCGCCGTTCAGTACATGTTCAAATATACAAGACACCATTAATTCAACAGACACCGATACAAATTATATGAAAGCTAGATTAATTAATTCTGATTTGATTACCGGATCTGTTGTCAGATGAAAAAATAAACTGAATGAAAATTAATGAAACTTTGTTAATAAAGGAAAGATAATTTGACAACTGATATACGTTTTGACATCTAATCATAGTTATTAACTTAATACGTAAAAAATATCAGACAATATACACCAGTATATGATCTGTAAAGGCAACAGTGTAGTGAGTTTATATATTTCTATTTCAGAAGGGAAGAGGAGATCAAGTTTAATGATATATATCTTGTAACAAATTTAACAATGCTCACTAAGAAACAGACTTTGACAAAGGTAGGGGCTCTTTCTTTCTCTTGTTTTGGGAAGTGTGTCGGAGTGGGGAGAGAATTGGTAGGGTATGTGTGTATAAACTATGTTTCATAGAAACCCTAACAGGTTAATTCTAAATGTGTGTGTGTTTACTGTTGTTTATTTCAGTCCTTCTGCTTATAGAAATACAGACTAGAATATGAGCAGAAGGACTAAAATGGCGTCACGGTTGTTTATTGGCGGAAAGTTACGACTACTCACGGAGAACGGCGGAAATATACCTGTTGAAATTTACCCGTGGCAGGTAGCATTGACATTCGGGATCGTGTTATACTTATGTAAAGGATATGCTGGCATAATTCCTCACTTTATTTAAAACATTTACTTTTGGGGGTGGGAGTTTTCTCTTAATAATAATAATGATTATAATTTTCGATTTAATAGATTTACATTATAGATTGAAGTGCCAAATTTGAAAAATGAAATGTAATGGGATTTAATGTCCTATTGTTCTGCCCCAACCGGGCTAATGTAGTGTATTATAAGGAGATTTGTATGTGCACGTAGATGTGTACACGGTACTTTTCAACTCAATGGCTAGACGCCGTTCCTTGCCATACTTTTGCCCGGCGCCACTGACAAGTTGAAGTCACGCCGGAAAATGCCGAGGAAATGTCTCGGCCGACACCGGGATCGAACCCGGGAAGTTCAATTTAGCGAACCAGCGCCTTACCCTCAGATCCACACGTCAGTGAGTTTAGCTGAACAATTGTGCAGATAATCCAATTTAAATCAAGTTAGTAGAGGTATTTTGGAGGCAATTTTAGAATTACATGTATCTGCATATAATATTGTTAAAAAAAACTAATTACGTTTACATGTATAATTCATTGTTGAAAGTGATAATACCCCATTAAGTTCACTTTATCTGTAATGTATAACTGGAAAAAGTGTCCACTGTCCTCTTAAATAGTTAAGATGCAAACAAAGTTGGTGTCAGTCAATATTAAATATGTGATTCCAAATATAATTTTAACACACAGATTACATAGCTAAGATATTGGGTTCAAAGTATATTTGGAATGTGTTTAACCAGGTCTATCACATTTTGTCGTCAACATTGTCCTTTAAAGTAGAAATTCTACCTACTTATGTATTCGAACAATAGCATAGCGATCACAGAAACCAAAATGAGCTTTAAAAGTATTTAGACGCCCCCACACCAACACACACTAGCAACTGTCAGTCGGAAAAGGAAGAAAAGGATAAACATTTAATTTCGAAACACAAAAAAAGACCTATTTTATCGATTTACTTAAAACAGCGATATTTTCGTTCAGCTTAGGGTGCCACACTAACAGAATTGGTAATATTGATGTTGCCACTATGTAATTATGTAATTAATGATCGCTCTTCAATGGAGGCACCTAGAGGAGTTTTTTCAGTTGATCCAAGTAACTGCCATCATTATCTGTTTTTGTTACAATAAAGAAACGGCGGGACCATCCCCATTAGGTGTGAATTTTAAAGTAAGAGGAATGAAGGAATGCGTTCTGTTTAAAACTAAATGCACAACAAAAGTTTGTTAGGTACACGAAGGAATATCCCAAAACCAAAATCTGAAGATGTTACATCGACTATTCATTTGATAGGCAGTATACTGCACAATTCATAAACATTAGCTGGTTTAATAATTGAATAGCGCAATCGTCAAAATCTTTGTTTTTTACAGATGGCTTATGAAGGACTGCAGCTCAACAATGTGCACGTAATGCAGAGTAACATTTGTAGATCAGCTGCTTGCTGTTACAGCTTTCCGGATAAGGTAAATCATATCTGTACAGCTTCCTTTAATACACGTTTTGCAGATTTTGTTTTCAAACTTACTGGGATCGTTTGGATTTAAAAAAAAATGTTCACAGAGTGACTGCCCCTGTCAACGAAATATTTTAAAAACTCTAAAGGTCTTTTAGATTATGTTTTCCAAATTACTGGAATTGCTAGGAATCTTAAGGACTTTTCGTCGAGTTACTTTTTCTATCACCGAAACCTTGTAAACGCCGTTCGGATGGGGGTTATTCAGATTTTTGTCGCAAACTTGGTGAGATTTCAATAAAAACTCTATTATCGCAATTTTTCTTGGGTAACCAAAGCCTTGTAAACGCGGAACAACCCAAAGAATGTTATAGAACTTGCTCGGAATGTTCAACTATAGCCACACTGAGAAATCCTATCGATATTCAGAGTTGCGCTTCAATTCTACGCAGAGTTATCACGTCTGCTCTCAGATTTAATTTTACAACTGGAATTGCTCTGCAAGTCACAAAGAGTGGACTTTGGAAATTCAGAGTTCTTCGTCATTTGTTGGCGTAAAAATTGCCCCTGGGCGAAAAAAAAACGAACAAAAAAAAAAACAAAAAATAAAAAAACCCAACAAAAAACGTAACAACCAACTTTACAATTCTTCTGTTGGGCTTATATTCATTTCCTACAACCATGTATCTTGTTTCATTAGTTAACCAAGACAATCTTCGCATCAATATTAAGATGATTGAAGTGAGATTCGTGTAAACTAGACTGTTATTTAGAATATAATTAAATGTCATTAAAGGAGTTAAATCACTAATATTTGGGACGTAGAAATTGACACAAAAGACTCGCGCGCATATAATACTGTAATATCAGTTACTTTCGGCGAAATACGCCAGAACTCTCAATCGAATGGCAATCTTTAGACTAGTGTATGGTTATTCCAGACAACACCGATAATATTTATTGCGCATGCTCTGCAGATAAGAACATGGGGTCATCGTTTGTCATGACTTGTGGCATATGTCTAGCCTCGTACTTCGAGTACTTTGTTACAAATAGCGCTACAACGCATTATGGTACACGATTCGTGTACCAATAGTAAAATGTTTATTTTGTCTTAAATATTGGATATCAGAAGCCCATCTTTACCCGGTAAGATTACAACATCAATGTTGATTTAAATTGACAAATAATTCGTGTTTTCAATGTCGAAGACTTTGGATGATATTGAGTCAGAGACTTAGCTTCTTTAAATAGCACATGTCCCTCTTCATGTAAATGTAAACAAAACACATTACTATAAGAATGACTTGTTTCAATGGCGGTTGAACATCCAAATCTGCTGGACATTCAAAGTTGGTAAGAGAAATATTGATTGGTTATTTCTATAACTGATCGGTAAAATAACTGACATGAATTAAACTATTTTAGTTGATTTGAAAATTCGTAAGAACACTGTAAACTTGTTTTCTATTTTCAGAAGAGACAACGGACGACATTTTCCCCAGTACAAGTCTCAGTCTTAGAAGAACTTTTCACGCAAACCCAATATCCGGATATATTTCTTCGCGAAAAGATTTCTCAGAAAATATCACTTTGTGAAGCTAGAATTCAGGTACTGTAAAGTTTCTACGGTAAATTGTCTGGCGTAACGGAAGTCGCACACGTTAGGTGGGTTCCAGAAGTCTTCATGAGTACGAACAGAAAAAATCAGACTGGAATTCTATATTTCAAATTATTAGATAGTTGAGAGCCGTAATTATAACGGTCCTATGAGACATACTTTGCATTACATGCTTTTCAACTGCTTTAACTTACATATGCTAGTACGTCTGTCAACGTCCAGCTATCCGCCATATCATAATTAATTCGTATTCCATCTTTATTCCAGGTCTGGTTTCAAAATCGAAGAGCAAGATGGCGTCGAGAATTTAGAAAAAAGTATGGAAATTTCCCTTGGCCAAGAGGCCGAGTTAGCTCTGTATATCATGGCACCCAATCAACGGATGCTGTCCTGTCATCTACTGCGGCAGCCAACCCAGAAGCAAGTCTTTATTCTAGGACGTTATTGGATTTATATGCCAGACATAAGAATGAGTAGGTCATTTTATAAAAATTTTATATGTAAATAATCAAACACCAGTTGGCCAAACTGGTGTACTACAAAAAATACCATGCGTGCAATACTTCCCGAATAAAAGAGAATACCCGGAGCTCTACCTGCACGTTCTCCATCTCCGGTTTCTTATTGATATATGTGACTTCACAGATTGATTAAAATACGGCTAGAAAATGTAAACATGGCTACTTTAGAGTATGTGTATACTCACTATGATGATTCCAGCGCATTAGTCTTTATATTATGAAAAGAGATTTTTGATGATTCTTGATAAATAAGCAAATGGTATCTTCAATGCCGGAAAGATGGTACTGTTCTGAAATTTCACATTTTGAATAGTTTATTGTGTAAATTACTAAACGTTCTCATGTCACCGACCAATTAGGGTGTTTCCATATTCCTAAAAAACACACATTATCATGATGGTCTTTAGAATGCATGGGACTTATTATTTGTCTGGGTTGCAAATTCAATCATTCAGATGGTGACACCCATGACTAAATGATTTAACTTTTCAATCTTCAGATCTATGTATAGTGCAGTCAGTTTCGGCATCCAAGGGTCCCCGTCACTGATGCCGTTTTTATTACCAGTAGGATCAGCATTGCTACCAGCCGCTACCACATCTACCACCAGCAGTCAACCTGCAAAACAAACCTGATGAATTATCATCTGCATCTTCAATGCCAGTGAATGTTGTGTTTATTTGACGTGCTGTTTGTAATTATGTAGTGTCCAACCTAAAGACAATAATTTGATATCGTCCTATATTATCATATTGGTGTATGTCAGTATTACATCAAGACCTAGGCTGGAGGGAGGAGCCGCGGTGGCTCAGAGAGTAAGGCACTGTCTCACTAACAAGGGGTCCGGGGTTCGATCCCGGAGTTGGCTGATTTAAATCCCCGGGATTTTCCAGCGTTGTATCCCCTTTTCAGTGGTGCAAGAGTTTCTAGTCGCTTGGATGGGACGAATCACCAAGGTCCCACATACACGTTGACGTGCACGTAAAAGTGTAATGACTGATGAATTACGAAATAAGAGTAGGCCATAGCGCCGATGCTCGAGCAAAATTTCCCTCGTAGCACACTTCATTAGCCAGGACCGTACAGAAAAGTAGGACGTTAAAGCGAATTTCATTTGACTAGAGGTCATAAAAGTTTTTAAAATGAAATTTTAAATTAAATTATTAATTTGTAGTTTGTAATTCATCACATGGCGTATATCCAATGGAGGCAAATCATTATTGGTATGGATTAACTAACACCCATTCAGACAAGTTAGACTTCATAATATTCAAAAAAGTTGGTTTCTCATAAAACTTTAGGGCACTAAAATGTTGGGACCAAGTGCATTTAAGATTTTACACTTTAAGTGGACTGAGCTGTTATGATCGTCTATTTCATTCGGCCCGAGGACAACAAATGACATTTCCGCCATGTACAGACTTGCTGTCTGGATGGTTGGTTGGACATTCAAGTGCATCAGTCACCTCTTGATATTAGGAGAATCTGAAATATGATTTGGATGAAATGATTTTCAAATCTTTGGCTTTAATTCTAAATATTCTACACTCGGTTATATTCCAATCTGATTAAAATACAGATCTATATTTCGTTTCGTTTTTTATACTTTCGATGGCCTACACTACATGAAGATCTGACAAGTTATAGCGATAGGTCACGTCAGGGATCAAAAGACCGACTTATGACCCTATGACGTCAGACATTTGATTAACCAATCAGCATTGATGTTACTAGATGATTACCCACAGTTCCGTGAAAAACACGCCTAAAGCTCGCCGTAACAGACCGTTTTATTGGCTTATCCCTGACACCATTCAGAACACGAGTTAAATAACAACTCTTCCAGATCCAAGTGTAGTAAAGCCAAGTAAAACAAAATTTTGAATTATAAAAACGAAACGAAATAGGATCTGTGTTTTAACCAGATTGGTTATATTCAAATTGTTACTGTACATTATCTTTTAACCTTTTAACCAGATTGGTTATATTCAAATTGTTACTGTACATTATCTTTTAACCTTTTATTTAAAATTTAAGAATAGGCTTCACGTAAAGTGGCTACTCAAAAACCTAATTGTAATTGTGAAACCATGACATATAAATGTATTTCTCATTGGTTTTATGTTTCTGTGGGTTTTATTTCCAATATGTAACAAAACCTTAAAAGATAACATAACAAAACTTGTTGGAATTTGTTTTGCATTGTTTCTAAGGTATTAATTGTGATATTGTAAAAATTTGACTATCAATAAACAACTTTTAACTCACATTTCTGGAATCTCAATTTTATCCAACTAATGAATATGAAATTAAAATTTCTCTGTGGATCAAATTAGATTAATTTTGTTAGATATAATTTTCAATTTACATTATGGATATTAAATAAAATTCTTATTAGGTTTACTGTTACTGTGAGCTGTTTATAAGGTTCATTGATTTATATCATACATATTTAATTCTATAGACAGCCCTCTACATTAAAAGGGGCGGGTGTGATGGGTGGTCGTGCCAGTGAGTCCAGTGACGTGGTTTCGATCCCCGATTTGAACGTAACAGAGGATAGAGTGCCTAGTCTCGTGGGTTTTCTCCAGGTTCTCGATTTCCTCCCACTGTTAAAGTCCTCAACGCGTAAGCGAATTATTGAAATAAAACTGTACTGTGTGTTAGTCCCGAAAATATATTCAAAGTGTTTGGGCTGTCGACAGCTTAAATCATCTGCACTCTTTTCATATAGATCAAAATAATATCAAATGATATGTATTGGACGTTAACTTTGTAATAAACAACAACGCCGAGTCAAAATAGCAAAAATAGATAATCTCCTGGCTTGTATTCTTTATATAGTCTGCAGATGATACATTATGTTGGAACATTTTCAAGTCATGATATATTTGTAAATACTGAACTAAAATACTGAACTGAAATACTGGTTATGGGTAAACGATATGGTACAGTCAACATAGGAGACATGCGCCTATCAGTCTTTCTTAAATGTCAACAAATTAATTCATAAACTCATTTACCCCGAGTCAACACTTCAAACAAAGACGCGTTTTAAACGACATGGAGTTACCAAACCCTGGGTGATGAATTTTGACTCAGAATGAAAAGGGGTGTCAAAAGTACTACGGGCCCGAAATGATCTATTTTTGATGTGATATTCCTTTTAAATATTCGGCTTCCATCGCGGATTAAATATTTGGGAGTACATGTATTTATTGTTCATATATATATAGATATTTTAAAGATATAAAATAGTTCTCTGATCCGTTTAGATTGAGTATCTTTCTGTTAAATTCATTCATTACAGTTTATCACTATACATTAGTTACTATAGCCATGTGAACGTGACATGGCGAATTCCTTTAGCCTCGCGTCAATGATCATTTAAGGTCATATGATCTATATTTAGAATAGTTCACTGAGATTTTATAATCCAACCCGTGTACAGGATTTTGAAACTTGCAAACATGACATTGTAACGACGGTGCGCATGTGTGATATTTCATCAGATTTTTCTTTTAGTATATAAAGAAATCGAATAGTGCATAATTATTACTGGTTATCACCAACTTGATATTTCTTCATAACTGCGCATGCACCAGTTATAAGCTACGACAAGGTAAGTGTGTTAGTGTATCTGTATGCATTATATTCATACATCAATAAGTTATTATTTAACTGTGTATGTCGACCGATAACCGTACCTGAGTTAATTTTCGTATTATTATCCGTTGAAGCGTATCATAAACCATTAAGGCGCCCACGTACATTTGATTTATGTATATGTTATATGTCAAGGCCCATGTTCAAAGCAATTTTTAACGGTTAATTTCTAAGTACGCGTCTTATTAGCCAATAAACATCAACATATTCATATACATATCCCTGTGGCGCAAGAGAACGTACCTCGTGATCTTTCAGTGTGGTTTATTCTTGTAAGTTTTGCAAGATAGATGACTTGGCAATGAACAGCGCTTAGTCGTTTGGATGGGACAAAAAACTCACGTCGGATGTACACGTTGACACGCAAAAGTTTCCACATAGCACACTGTATAGCCTATATCTTGATTAGCCAGATTTGTGTAGAACAGTAAAACGTTAAACTCCATTTCATTCCGATAATGACACAGGTCTGCTGAAAAGTGTGTCATACCCTGTTTAATAGGTGAATTACCTCCCCTGAACCGTCCATGAGGTCTGTGCTGAGTGCAGACACTTGTCCACTAACTAATGTCTGGTCTCATACAAGCCATACCATGGTATATGGGTAGTGACAACTAGTTCTCAGTTATTAGGGCTAAAGATATTGTACAATATAAGAGTGATGGTGTTTTACATTCACCCTAAGTTACATATTGTTTAAATTACTACGCGAATTGCACATCGCGACATGGATGTTACGGCGTGGTTTCCTTTTGTCAGTGGGACGGAGGTTCTGACGAGAGACAGTGTCTAGTCGTTAGGATGGGACTAAAAATTGAAGCCCCGTGTACACATTGGTGTGTACGCAGTAGAACACTTGCCAGTTACAATTTGAGCTAATAGTAGCTCGTAGCGCTGCTGTCCGGAGACAACATGTTCACCATTGCACACAACATGGCGTATGCCCTTCTTCCTTAGCCCGAATGGAACAGAACAATGGGACGTTCAACCCCATTTAATTTCATTTCATATCGCGGCATGTTGATTTCAGGACAATTGTTAATGTTTATTAGTGTTACATTTTTTTTCGTGCTGAAAAGTTGGACATTAAAATCCCTTTCATTTCATTTTCGTTTTCGTTGCCATCTTCATCGTCAGTATCACTACGCGTAATAAGACAATATGGCACCCGATGACTATAATCTAAATCAATGTACCGTCCCTCGTATGCATTGAACAAATCAATTCCAATAATGGGATTATTTCTTTAATATCATTAAATATAGATGCAGCTTTAATAAGCTATGGTTTGGCTGCTTTTGTACAGGTAGAATTATAAATAAATAATTTGTTTCATTTGCCCCATGTTAACTCGCCGATGTTAACAACATACATTTTTAATAAAGAAGATTGTTTTGATGTTATAAGACAGCAAGAGACGAAAGCGAGTTATAGCAGTCGAGTTATATAATTTAATAATCCCACATCTATATAGATAGTTGTACTTATATAAATTGATAGTACAGTAATAATTAATCTCGTCCGTCTAACATAATGGGATGTGGTTCTAGCAGGCAGTTTGAAAATAATTTCAATACTACATTAATAAAACGTTTTGATGAAGAAGAAACGACATTTACTCATTTTAGTGAATCGTCAGAGTTTGCAGGTAAATGTCTATGTTAAGAAGTGAAGTGTAAACAGTTAATTATGGAGCGAAAGAGTGTATCTATTTTGTTTAATCACACAGCATGGAAAAGGATTATACGCATCATCAACGTAATGGTCTTAGACGTAAATGCTCCCCGAAGGTCCAAATTGAACGTTCTTTGAGCTGATCTGATAAGCATACAAATTGATAGCAATGGACTATGACCAATCATCGTAAAATACAGGGTTTTAATTGTTAGGATGGGGGTTACAACGAATGTTCAATATGTTTTGGTGGATCATTTATGAAACATTTAGTGCAGCCAAAGGCGTATCGGTATTACATCTAAATATAATTTTGTTTGTTTTTTTAGATCTCGATAAGGAAGAAATGGAAACACAAGTGGAAAAAATAAATCAATTTGGTGACGATAAAGATGTTGCTAATATGTCTGTTGGAGATTGGGAAGAGAGATGGGAACGTGGTCAAACACATTTCCATATGGAGGATGTCCATCCGTAAGTTGATTTTTACGCCACTGATTCCCATTCGAGATATTTTGAATAGTTTGCAAACTACAATATTATGAAAGTTGAATCTCTAAAAAAGAGAGAAGGGGGTGGGGGATGGGGTTTAACGTCCACTCGACACAAACTAGGTCATTTCGGACTAACACATGGATCAATTTTATTTCAATAAATCGCTTGCGCGTAGGGGTCTTTAGCAGTGGGAGGAACCCGGAGGACCCGGAAAAAACCCACGAGGGTGGACAGGTGACCCTACTCCTTATCACGTACAACTGGGGAATCGAAATCACGCCAGTTGACTCAATGACAGACCTTATGATACAGCGCGAACGTGCTAACCACTCGGGCATCTAGATCATACCGTTCCGTCTTACAAATATAATCAAGCCAGCAACACCCGCGTAAGTTGTCGTGTAACATCTTTTGGTGGGCCTCTTTTAATGCGATTGAATCCGAACCGGGATATTATTTAATATTGAATAATAAATTTCAGCGTGGATTAAGCAGTGATAAATTATATTTTGTCTGTAAAATACAATAATATAAATTACCTATTACAAATCGAACATTCTTCTTCGTTTCAGAAACCTACAGAAATATTACAAACATTTAACACGGGGTCGAGATAAACTGAGATTTTATTTACCTCTGTGTGGAAAATCAGTTGATATAAGATGGTAAGTACAGTCCATGAATTAAATACACGAGATAAAAGGTTTCTGGGGGTAACTCTAAATAGCTTAGTGGCAATCGATATCAATGTATTTGCGATTTCAATTGAAGTCAGTAAATAATTAATTATATGGCCATAGATTTGTCATTTACTTCAGTGTTTATGCCCGTCTCTTTGCCAGGTTCTAACTGTTTGTTTCTGAATTGACGCTGTGTCGAATTCTCTCCACCACATATGAAACAACGTGTGGCAAGTACCAGGGCTGGTTTAAGAAAATTCGCGGCCCAATTTGGGCGGCCCGAAATTACAGGATATGAATGCATTGCAGGATATGAATAGCTTTAACTAGGTCCATATTCACAATTAGTAATTGATTAGTAGCTGAAAATAACAACACCTTGCAGTCCTGCTGCCAGATTGCATGAAATTTTTTTTAAGTCGGTGAGCTGTGGGGCCCCTTTCTAGTGCGGGCTCCAATTGAGGGAAACTGGTAAAATGTGTCAAAAACTGGCCTTGGCGGCAACGTCTTGCTCGAACGCATATCTGATATTCAGCATGGTAAGTTTGACCCGTGACCTGTGAGAGTAAACATGTAACTTTCTTCGGTATATTTCAACTTATCTAACAGCTTAACATTGCTCTCCATCTCACAAAATCCGAAATAATCACTTAAATAACAAGCGCCAAGCAAAAGAGGGAAATTAGGGGGAAGGAGTCTATAGAAGGGACTACATTCCGACAAAGATGGGTTTAGTTATTGGATTTGTCTCCCTTTTGTATAAATTAGAAACACACTCGACGACTAGGTCTAGTCTGAACATCCAGTGATAGTACTGGATTTATGATTGAGATCCCACTAAAATAAAGTCAATTCTTTCCATAAAATGATTTTGTTGTTTTTTGTGACTTTTAATATTAATACTTTTAATGTTATTATAATTATCTTATATTTGTGGCTTGGTCACCAAAGTTTTAATAAAGCTTCCATTAAGACGAGGTATCATTATTGTTTCTAGAACATCTGATACCACTTTATATACATTGTAAAGTTCCCATAGCTAACAATTTTACACTTTCATTTTTATAATTTTGTAACCACGTGATCCACTAAACAAGCGGCCTTGGGTTCAATCCCGGTGTTTGCTGGGAAAGTTCGTCGGAATTTTCCAGCTTTTTGCGCCCCCCCCCCCACCCTTGTCAATTACACTCTCTAGTAATTGATAATCATATGGTACCAGGAAATTTGACAGAATGTCTGTCATTGAGTCAAGTGGCGTGGTTTTCGATTTCTCGCTTGTACGTGGCAAGGAATTGGGGCGCCTGTCCAACTTCGTATTTTTTTCACCGGGTCCCCCGGTTTCCTCCCACTGCTAAGACCCTTACGCGCAAGCGAATTATTGAAATGAAATTGAACCATATGTTAGTCCCGAACATCACCCCTCCCCCCTCTCTCTCAAAAATAAACAATAAGTGGTTCTAGGTGATCTAGCAAGAATAAGTATATCCCGCCTCATGTAAGATACCCGCCGCTATACAAAGATATCTCTTTCGAGTCAAGTTCCGTAATTTCTGGGTTAATACGGACAGTGTCTACAAGTTGTGTCACCCACTTATAGTTAAGATCAACTATAATTACCCTGAACATAAGAATTGGTTAAATAAAAGCCCTACCTGTTTACTTTGTTAAGCTAAGATTAGTGGCTGGCCTTTTTACACCATTAATCTAAGTTTCAATAAAGTGACACTGAAAAGAACCACGAATCTTTAAGTATACGACAATCTTATAACTGTACATATCCACAAAGTCTTAAGGCAAATAAATGACTGTTTTTACAGTTATTGAAATAGAGGACATTATCTGGGCATTGTCAACTGGTTTTTAAATGATGTGAACTACCCTTCAGTTGTCGATTTAGCGACCCCGTATCTTGCGTAAAAAGCGAATCGTGAATTGAAAAAAAACATGATACATCGCCCACGTTTTTTTTTTCATGTATAGAAATCTATTGAATATAGCAAAAATTTATCTACACGGGAATTGTTTTTCTTGACTTTTATTTAATTTTATTGAGTGACAAAAACTAAATTGTATTTCTAATGAATTATAGCGGGAAGAAACATGGAATGCAAAAGTATACAGAAAAAAATGTTTACCGTGTGAACTTTTAATATCATTATTTTGCCCGTCATTAATCTACTTTGAAATTAATTCTTTTAAACATACATTATGCAAGAGCTAAATCTTTCTATTGCAGGTCTTTCTTTAGGCCTGAAATATTATCTAAATTATTAATTAGACATTAATTAACCTATCCAGATCATAATCAACTCTCGATGGCATCCCTAGCCTGCGATCTTTATTGGATTATGAGCCGATTTACTGCATAACTTTTCTTCACAATTTAATGATTAAATGAATAATCGAGACTATGTTACTGATTTTAGTAATGATGATCGAGGCTAGGCGGAAATTTAAATCGCTTAATTCTCGGTTAATAGTGGATCAATTTGAATGGAATTTTCAGCAAATTGCCTTTACATTATCTAGTTTTTAACTATTATAGTGAGAACTGCCAACTCTTTATCTAATCTCCCATAATGTATCTTTACATGATATTACAAATCATCATTACATAAGTCCTGCTTTTGTTTCAAATACAGGCTGTTGACCCGTGTTCCACTGACAAAAACCTCATCTGGAAGTAATTGAACTCGAGCAGCCCAAATTTCAGCCTGAATGAATGAAAGAATGAATGAAATGGGGTTTAACGTCCTACTTTACTGCACCATCCAGGCCAATGAAGACGGAGATACGCCACACACAGTGCTATGGGGGGAATTTTGTCAGCACAGTAACTGAATTCCAACTGTCAAGGATTTATTTACGTGCAAACCAACGTGCACACGGGACCTCGTTTTTTTTATCCCATCCTAACGACTAGCCACTGTTCTTGTCAGCTTTTCTTTCATGCAACAAGCGGAACCACGCTGGAAAATCCCACAGAGCTTTCTCGGTCAACACCTAGATATATATATAACTTGGATTATTCAAACATTAATCAAAGAGTAAGTCTAACATGTTTTGCACGACACTTGTCAGGACTTTACGGCATAATAGAGCTAACAAATCGTATATTTCAGGTTAGCGGACAAAGGTCATACTGTCATAGGATGTGAAGGTTCAGATTTAGCCTGCCATCAATTCTTTGAGGAGAATTCTATACCATACGTCACATCAAAAATTCCTGGAGTTGATGGAATAGCTTATGTGGTAAATATTTATGTTATTTAGGTCAATAAATGGTTAAAAACTCGGTCGAATGTTCAAAATGACAGATTTAAATACCAGAACGAACTCGCCCTCCATGTACGACATCTTGGATAAGACACACTCAGATACGATTCGTTTCGTCATATTTAGCTTTGAAAACACTGATATTGATGGGTTATGGCTTTTATACATATTTTACAATAATGGAACTCTCGACTTCCGACGTAATATTATTTGTATTTGTATTTCTAGGCGGGGAATAGAGAAGCTATAGGTATTTATAGATGTGACTTTTTTCAACTGTCAGTAGAAATACTTGAACCGTTTGATTGCATATGGGATAGAGGATCTTTTGTAGCAATACCAGTAACCATGAGGCAACAGTAAGTATACACAAAATATAATCTGAATTGGCATATGATAGAACATATAATTAGTGGTTGTCTCAAGGATTTGAACTGAAATGAAATGAACTGACATAGGCTTTAACTTTAACTTTAAAGTAAGATTTGGATACACCAGGCGGTATGTAATGAGAGAAGGGTGCCCTCCCCCCCCCCCACTCGTAGCGTATAAAATCTCAACCAAAATTTGTTTTAGCCATGTGGACTCCATAAATGAGAAGTCGTATCTCACGTTCTAACTGAAGCGGTGGTTCCGACCAGGATTTCAGAAACCAAAGCTAATGGATAGAACTGGGCAACCTTTGCAGCCGCATTTATGTTCAAGTCAGATTGTACACGACGATAAAAGCCAGATTCGTGTAGACTTTCTTTTTTCGAAAATCGATCACAAAATGGACACATGCCGATTAATACACACGTATATATATTTTTTGATATTTCCAATTAATCTTTAAGTTATTGCAAAATAATTTTAATCGGATGTATGGATTTTAATATCTCGACAACACAATATTTCGGTACATTTAAGACAAAAAAATGGTTACGTCTTCAATGCGTTTCCGCCTACTCTTTTTTGATTTCCAACCATGTCACGAGTTTTGTTAACACTACCCCAGCGTGTACACGGGTTGACCATGGTTTTTCGTTCCATTCGAAAGACCAGATACAATTAGATTGACGGACTTGAAGGGGATCTTCTCTTTCTATGCCGACATTCGACCCTGAGACATACTAGTCTAGGGTCCAGTGACGTGACCGCTTGACTGCCACGTCCTATCATCATGGAAACTGCAACGCGAATTAACATAATACATAAATCATTTTACTATGATAGGCACACCTGTATTTTAATTGTGAATGATTTTAAATTGGTTTGTTTTAGATATGCAGACAGTATAATACCTACATTAAAGAAAGATGGTTCTTATTTGTTAGATACGTTTCTACTTTCCAATGATGTATTCGCAGGTTAGTCATTTACTCCAATATACAGTAATAACAGTCGCAGTCCTCTAACTGATAATTTGTTATTTTGTTCAAGAGAGAGAGAGAGAGAGAGAAATGGGGTTTAACGTCCACTCGACACAAACTAGGTCATTTCGGGACTAACATATGGTTTAATTTTATTTCAATAAATCGCTTGCGCGTAGGGGTCTTTAGCAGTGGGAGGAAACCGGAGGACCCGGAGAAAACCCACGAGGTTGGACAGGCGACCCTACTCCTTGTCACGTACAACCGGGGATTCGAAACCACGCCAGTTGACTCAATGACAGGCCGTATGATACAGCACGCACGTGCTAACCATTCGGCTATCTAACCCCCCTACTTTGTTCAAATACTACGTCCAAAATTTGTTTGCATATATTATACCTATTTATTCAGCAATAACAATTTTTGTATCCATTCAAAACAGTACAGCTTGATAATTTTGTGACTATTGCATTAAAATAACTAAAAGATTTACTGTTAAGGCCAATTTGTATCAACCCAGCAATTGTCTAAATAAGGGGATTTCAATATTAATGGGTCAGCCTGGTATATTGAGGTGGTAGATTAATATTTAATGGTTTTAGAGAGAGAGAGAGAGAGAGAGAGAGAGAGAGAGAAATGGGGTTTAACGTCCACTCTACACAAACTAGGTCATGCGTAGGGGTCTTTAGCAGTGGGAGAAAACCGGAGGACCCGGAGAAAACCCACGAGGTTGGACAGGCGACCCTACTCCTTGCCACGTACAACCGGGGATTCGAAACCACGCCAGTCGACTCAATGACAGACTTTATGATACAGCGCGCGCACGCTAACCATTCAGCCATCCACCCCCCCTAAATGGTTTTAGTCTCCTTGAACATTATTCGGTAGAGAAGAAGAATATATATTTTATTTTATTTTTTTTCTTTATTGTTTTTTGTTAATAAATCATTTTCAACAAATAATTACAGGTCCCCCGTTTAACTGTACAGAGGATGATGTATATAAATATTTTGGTAAGTAAAATGCGACATAAGACCTATAGACCGTACCAACCATGTAGATCAATTGTCCAGTAGTTACCAATACTAAAGTAGAATCAATATTGGTATGTGTGCCAAGAATGTTTTATACTTCCACGGTGTCCATAAAATTTAAATACATTTGAAGTAGACTAAGGGTACACTTCATCATACACGACATGAGTGCCCCTGTCTCACAAGCAACAGAAAGATGAGGGTACGGAATGGATCGTAGATTCAAAAGTTCCACGCTTCAATTCTTTTTTAAATAAATACAAACTTGTACATACTACTGATTTTGTAAAGTTAAGATTGTATTGTCGAGATATGTGCTATCAGTAATTTAAACACATTAATAATGGCAGATATTAACATTAACTTAAAAAGAAATAGAGGAAATATAGCATTAACTAATCTAGAAAATAGTAAACAAAAACAGTATTAATAACCTAATAGTAAATAGAGAAAAACTGGTACGAAATTAACTAAATCTACAAAACAGAGGAATGTAGTATTAAATGATCTAGAAATCAGAGGAAATTAGTAATAGCTCAATCTGATTAAATTAGGAATTAGCCAATGAAACGGTCTGTTACGGCGAGTTCTTGGTGTGCACTTGCACGTAACTGTTGGTAAACGCCTAGAAACGTCAACGTTGATTGATTAATCAATGTCTGACGTCATAGGGTCAGAAGTCCCTCGTATGGCCACTGATGCGACCTTCCAGTACAACTGATTAGATCTTCATGTAGTGTAGGTCATCGAAAGTATAAAAAACGGAACGAAATATAGATCTGTATTTTAATCAGATTGGTAATAACTGATCTAAAAATCAGAGGAAATTAGTAATAACTGATGTAATAACAGATAAATATTAAAGAAACATTATAGAAGATCTCAATCTCTCTATTGAATTTTTTTCTCTGGTTGCTAATATTATATAAATTCTTATTTTGACATTTATTCACATGGCAAGCCCAACCCCAACTCTCTAGAACATCGGGTGGCTGACATATTGAATGTATTAGACCACCAGCCCAGCTGGCCCACCAGCCCACCAAAACTTCAAACACTCAGAATGTCAATATGTTAATTCTTCATTTTCTAGTATTATAGCATGAACGACCAGCTCTTTATCTACAACCTACACAATACATCTTTAACTAATCTAGAAATAGTGTATTAAAGATACATTATGTAAGATTTAGATAAAGAACTAGCCATTCTTGCTATAATAGTTCGAAAGTAGATGATGTAAAATGAATAATTTGAAAAATTCATTCAAATTACTCTAATGCAAGCGAAGATATTAGCCTTTGAAGGTTTGACAGACGTGTGCAATAATTTCAACCACCGTACTGGTTGATCGAAGCTAAGTCTCGGTCCTCCATATTTGATTAAATCAAAGTATCGCTGAACCATTCTAATCTATTTAATATCGGAGAAATCTGATGCCATCGAGAGTTGATTAAGGCCAGGATCAGTTAATTAATGTCTAATTAATACTTTAGAAAACATTTCAGGCCTAAAAAAAGACCTGCAATAGGCAGATTTAGCTCTTGCATAATGTATGTTTAACTAATACATTATGGTCGAAACTAGTGCTAACGGTTCAAATCAGTAATCAAAATACAATACTTTTCGTCAGTATTAACTAATATAAATAAACAACGGACAATTACTGCTAGATAATCTATAGAACAATTAGTAATTAACCGATTTAGAAAAAAGGACATTTTAACTAGTCAAGAATATGAAAAAAATTAGAAAACCACTAGCAGAAATTGTAAATATTATCATCACCAACCACCATTCGTGTTCTTTTTATGTTGTTTTAAAGAAATTTATTTTAATTGTTCCATTCCAGGTAATTTGTGTAATATAGAAAAATTAGAATCTACAGACATATGCGGCGATGTGCACAGGCAAGAGTGGGGCCTACAATCATTTGATGAAGTAGTTTATTTGCTGACACTCAAGTGATGTAAAAACTAGTATTAAAACTAAAAATGTGTTTCAGGGTATTAAATTGTTAACATTCAATATGCACAAGATAGGAGGGATTACTGTGATTTATATATGTTAGGGTGATAATGAAATGAAATGAGATGGTCTAGAATGGCAAAATTCAATCTGGGATTCGTAGCCCAGATGGGAATCAAATATAAGATTCCAAAGACCCTCTCACCCCACTACCACCCAAAACAAACAAACGTCAACCCAGAATTAAGAAAAGATATGTCTTTTTTTTTCAAAAAAAAACAACCAAAAGACAGGCACCCCAAAATCCTGAAAAATAGTACGAGTTTTATCACATGACGTGGATCCATTGTAAGAAAACTATGGTCTATGTTATAACACCATATTATTCTATCATACAATATTGTTTAAATATTTTATTATATCATACAATGTTGTTTAAATATATTATTTATGAAACAATGTTTAAATATATTATTTGTGAAACAATGTTTAAATATATTACTTATCATAAAATTTGCTTTATTCATTCGCATAATATTTGATTAAGATTCATTATATTGATAAAATATTTAAATTGTAGCGAAAATAAATTTAATATATTTTTAATAATGATGTGATATTTTCTTTGATTTTTATAAGACTATTATTAATTTTGATATCCTCGAATATATATAAAGACAAATATGTATAATTGTTTGGTGGTTGTTTCCAATCGGTAAAAACATTTTAATTTGACATAATCTGTCCAATCATTAAAATTGTGATATTATGTCAATTCATATTGCTTAGGGTCGGGGTGGAGGGGGATACGTGGCCGAATGGTGACAAGGGGCGGAGTCGCCTGCCAAAACTCAGTTTTTTTCTCTAGGTTCCTCCTATTGCTAAAGACCTCTATGCGCTAGCGTATTATTGAAATTAAATTGAACCATATGTTATTCCCGAAATGACTTACTTTTTGGGGGTTAATCTCTCTCTCTCTCTCTCTCTCTCTCTGAGGTATAGTTCAGGTCGTACATACGTTATGTTTTCAATCATTTCAGCGATTCTCAAGTACATCGGTTATTCAATCGACCCGTGTTATTTTATATAGCTATGATATCAAGCTATTATTAGGTTATTTATTGTTATATAGAAGTGGTAATGTCACTTTTAAATATTAAATGAACATTTCTCATCAAGGAAAACACCAGATTTCATTTGTCACGTTATGTCAGGCCTTTATTTACTTAGTAAACCTATCAAAGATTCAGACCATATTCATCACTTGAGTCATCAATGCTCATATCACTTGTGATGAATTAACTCTTCCCATATGAAATCTTGATGAATTAACAAACAGTTACTGGATGTACGGTGATCATATCTTCGTCTTTCTATTCAAGTCCCCATCTGGTGTGAAATATCACCACCAACAAACTCCCTGCTTTTGCAAAAGCGCAATTACGCAGTCTTAATTACGTGTTTCGCGCGTGCAGTTTTGATATCTCGGTATTTACTTAATTCTCGCGAGATGTGTCGATTTCATGACCAAGACAAACTACAACACCCATTCCATTGACCCTCAAGGTCGAATTCAGTTTCAATTTTAATCAAAACGCGCACAATATTGCTTATCTCTGTTAGTAAAATGCATTGAATGGATGCAACAATATGGCGACGAGTTTTGAATGACACTGACAGGTGGCACTGCAAAGAAATTGTCTGCTCTTTACAAAAGAAGTCGACAATTGCCGCTCATATCCATGACGACATATTTAGCATCTTAGTTTACTTTCCATCTTGAAGCGAAGAAAAGAAGAGACAGTTAATTTAGAAGTTGATGGCTCTTATGGTGGGCTTCCAATAACCAGTCAAGCGTGTAGTGGAAATGGGAACTAAAATGACAAGAAACAGACAGATAAGGGGAGATTGAAATTAGGATGGCACCCGCTAATCCTGTAGCATAAGTCAATTTACTGGGATATAGAAAGAGCATTAGTCTAAATGTAATTTGTAGCACTTTGTCTGTTTTAGGTTATAAATCCGATGAAGAAATAATTCTAGCTATATTGCTTTTTAAGTAGCCTTTCTAGTTCGTCTCGAGGGAGTGGGAAAGCTGAATGTGCCATTCGAGAATTTATCGCCATTGAACAAATGGGCATAAAACGTAACTATTGAGTTAGTCTTATGGGTGCGATTTACTTAGCAACAGACGTAAATGTCAACGGGGTCCTAGAAATTTCTTTTCCAGCTTTTTTCAAAATTGAATTTTCTAGTAAAAGCCATTACAATATGGTCGTGTTGGTTATAAATTCGACAAACTCTTTGAATTAGATTTTTTTCCTTTACAACATATTGCGTGTTTACTACTTTTCCGGGCCAAATGTAATTTAAATAATGAGTGTGGTGATTTAGTAGTATTTTAACATTTACAATGGTTAAAAAAAGTAATATAAAATAAAATCTGATAAAACGTTCAACCTAAGACTTAGTTAAAATGTTTCTGTAAGTAATTAACATTATCTTTAGTGAATGTTTGCCGGGGGCAGCTCAAATCTGACAAAGAAAATTAAAGGAAGATCCAAACTTTGTATTAAATGATTAAAACATTTTAATTTAATTATTTACACTCGACTAAAAAAAGTGTTATTTATATAGTGCTGTAGAATAATTAAAGGTTAGATAATGTCGTGGCCCTGATGTAAGTGGCCACAAATACAAGCTTACAGTCTTTAGAGGCGGCAGTAAAACAGAATACTAACTAATGGCTGTAACTTACTTTAGATTGATCTGTATAACATTTAGACCAATGTACCGTTTATTGTGTAATTTTATTTTTTTTTTAATTTAGAAAATGTCCCAAAACACTGATTTTTAGAAAGATGTGTTTTCATAGATGACTAACCTTAGGAAATGTTTCCTTTCAAAGAAGGTTTAGTAGTTTAATGAAACATATGTCACGCTTTCTGATGCTTGTGAAATGTGTTCGGATGACAGCAGATTAACGAGATTAGTATGGATTTCTACCAATATTTTAGATGAGTGTAAAAGACTGTAAGAATTAAAATATGTTAGATCTCTGAACACTGTTTAATGTCAAACCTTAATTGAATAAAGTTGAAGGTAATTGTCATGAAATGGGAGCTTAATTAGCTTAGAGAAATTAGATCTATTGGCAACATAGTCCATAAACTTTCATTTCATCAATCCTCATTAGGTTTTAAGTCCATGCGGCAAATCGACGGGTATTATATGTTCTGGCTAGGGATTCCACATTAGAAACAGTTCTCAGAGGACGAGATTTACACCAACAACTCTTTATTGAAAACGTCTCATAAATGTCTTGTTCGTTGCCCATTTAGGATGAGCTACTAAGCTGCCGGATTTATTCCCTGACATTCGGTCACTTAAAGATCCATTGTCTTCTTCCATTTCGGGATGGGCGAAAGCTAATAAAACGGAACGAATAAATTCATTTTATGAGTAAACAGTTAAGATGGCTCATGTCAACAATCTATTGAGACGAATAATGACTTGTGTACAATGTCCATCTTAGTGATCTGTTTGGATGTGGACATCGGCATTAAGAGAACTATAGCATATTTAAATGATCAAATGAATTATAGCTTCTCTCACACCTGCTCAAATGCTTCACGACAGATTTTCTTTGATTGAATTATTCTTTCAAGTGTTAGTGCGCTGTTTAAATCATATTTGTTTTGAACATATAGCGCGTTGTATATGGATGACTTATTTGATGATAAACTGTATGTATATCAGTGTGGTGTGTGTCCCATCCTATCAATATCAGCGGATTTAGGCTTCATTTCATTCTAAAGAATAATTATTCACATGTATAACGGACTTCTTTAAAGACAATTTCTTTATCAGTGAAGCGAGTATCCCGTCCTGTCAACATTAGAAGATTAAAGCGTCATCTCATCCTAAAGAATACTTATCGAATCTGAACAATATGACTCTCGCCCCTGATTTTAGTTTTTATTTTAGGATGATTGGGAAACAGTTTATGACTATGTGTAGCTCTTCTCTCGGAAGAGTAGCTGGCGTCTGACTGGTGGTTCAACGTCTACTGCCACAGTAGTGATATCACAACCATCCGTACTAGTTATATATACAAATTACATGATAGTACGTATCCCGATAAACAATCCAACAAAGCCCCAGTAAGATTCATCACTGCACTTTACAAACTTCACGCGCTCTGCGTAGGGCGTTCACAAGTTTTTCAAGAACAAAGAGATCCTTCAGCATGCTGTTGTCGACATATCCTGATACTAAATAATTACCTATTTCACTTTATATTGTTTTGCCAACTACTCTATAAACACTTATTTGATGGCTCTACTTATATGAATTTAGCTAATAATCTATAGATTCTAAACGACCCAAAATGAAACAAAATTGACAAATTTGAAACAACCAATCTGATTAAAATACATTTCAATATTTCGTTTCGTTTTTTTTATACTTTCGATGGCTTTCACGTGGGTTCACGTCAGGGGTCAAACGAGCGGCTTTTGACCCTATGGCGCCAGACATTGATTAATCGGGGATCACGGTGGCAAAGTGGGTAAGACGCTAGCTCGCTAGCCTGGAGGTCGGGTGTTCGATCCCTGCATTGTCCGAGAAAGTTCATCCAGATTTTTCAGCGTGGTTTCCCCTTGTCAGTGATACAGGATGGAGGGCCTGACAAGGACAGCTGTCTAGTCGTTCGTGTGGGACGAAAAGCCGAGGTTCCGTGGAAATATTGGCGTGCGCGTAAAAGATCCCTTGGCAGTTGGAATTCGATATAAGAGTAAAATTTCCCTCATAGCACACTGTATGGCGTATGCCCGTCTTCATTAGCCCAGTTTAGTTAGGAGCAGAACAGTAGGACGTTAACCTCCATTTCATTTCATTTCATTTACATTGATTAATCATTCGGCGTTGACGTTTCTAGTGGTTTGCCCACAGTTCCGTGCATAAACAGGCCGTAACTCGCCGTAACAGGCCGTTTCATTGGCTAATTCCTCACATCAAGTAGCAAGCCAGTTACATAACAATTCTTCCAGACCCTAGTGTAGTAACGACAAATTTTGAACTATAAAAACGAAACGAAATAGGATCTGTGTTTTAATCAGATTGTGAGACAACAATACTATTACAAAGTAGATAATCTATAAAATAGGATTTTACTTCAAACTGCCGAAACATACACTAGGCAACTATAAGTAAAGGTTTCCAAATCATAAAATATCGTCCCGTGGTCATTTATCAAACGGTTGCCAATACATGTAGATAACACTTCG